TCATCTACGTTTAACCATGTTTCAGTTATTCCCATTATATGAAAATCCCCCATTCCTACAGTGATCTAAAGTAATCTTTTTTCTTCTTATACTTCTAGTATTAGAATAGTAAAAATTAAGCCTATCCTTATAACTACTTCTGTACTCTTTTTTTATGCTAAACTTTTCTCTGCCCCTTATTCTTTTTATATTCAGTTTTTCCTGGCCCTCGCCACTGTCTAGTCCTAGTTTAAAACTTCCCTTCCAGCCAACTCAATTAATAGCCTTAGCAAACAAGCCAGCCCCTACTCTATTTAAATGTAAACCATTCATTGCAAAATCCCACTTCTTCCACTGTTCTGATCCTACAAGTCCAACCAGCTAATCTGCTCATCCTTACAATTTACCTACTAACCTAAGCCTAGCATTTAGCCCTAGTGACCTACTTGTAACTTCTTCCACACAGTTAATTCTGGGCAGTAAACCTGACGAAATTAAGTTATGGCCGTTTTCTTTAAATGCCTTTATCAACCCCTTGTACTTATTAATTACCTCTTCTCACCTACCTTTCCCTACATCATTAGCCCCTACATGCACTACAAAAACTGCACATCTGCTAGCTCCCTTTATCATATCCCCTGCTCTGTCAGTTATATCCCCACCTATGCCTCTAGGTAGCATAATCTGATTATTTTCCCTCTATTTACACCACAGACTATTCTATCCACATGCCTTATCAAGGAATCACCTATAACTATAACCTCCTTATCACCCACATCCTGCTCTGACCCTTTTGTTTCCTTCCCTCCAATTTGTTCCTCATCTGCAGAAGCCAATAGCTGAAATTTGTTGCTCAACAGAATAGGCTCATTATTACTAAATTCACTACTTTTAGCCCAAAACAGCACTCTTTCTAGCTTCCTCAAAGTCATGGTTAGCTGATGTATCCCTTGCATGTAAAAGCTTAAGCTCCTCCTGAAATCCTGCTGCCATTTCTCAAAATCTACACTTCTATTTATTTATTGCATCAACTTTAAATCATGATTGCCTCTAACGTCTCCTCCAACCTACAGACTCTACATAAAAATTGTACATCTTCATTACTAATACTAGCTTCCTTAAAGTATATTCCAGTCCCCAAATATAACCCACTCATTGCACCCATTATACCTAACAAACTGCGAACGCTTAACTCCTTCACTAGTCTTAACCATTGTATTTATACTTATACTGATATAGCCTAAAAATAAATACTCGGTACCAAATACCAGTAGCCTATTGTTAACACTGTTACTGTTAAGCCTAACGTTTGAGAACCAATTATATAATTTATTTAGCACTACTTTGTCTTCACACTAAAGTTATAAAGTTTATCTTTAATTATATAAAACTTAATAATTTATTAG